GAAAATAAAGACTCTGAAAAGAATAATGGTAGTGATGATGATAGTGTAGCTGCTACAATTGAACATGATTTTCTTATCTTCTATGATGGTGACACAGATGCCATTAATTTGGCAAGTCATGATACAAACTGGGTAATTGATAGTGGTGCATCCATTCATGCTACAGCTCGAAAGGATTTTTTTGTTAGTTATGCAACAGGTGATTTTGGAGTTGTGAAAATGGGCAATGATGGTAATGCAAAGATTGTTGGTGTTGGCGATGTTCAGTTAGAAACCAACAATGGCACCAAGTTGCTTCTGAAAAATGTGAAGCATGTTCCAGATATCAGGTATAATTTAATTTCTGCTAGAAAATTAGATGATGAAGGGTATTGTAATACTTTCCAAAATGGCCAATGGAAACTCACAAGAGGCTCTCTAGTTGTGGCTAGAGGCACAAAGTGTTCTACACTTTATGTTTTACAGGCCAAGATCTCAGGAAATATTGTCAATACGGTTGAGAACGATGATACGAATGCTATATGGCATAAGAAGCTTGCACATATATCTGAGGAGAGGATGTCCATGCTGGTCAGAAAAAAGAGCATAGCTGGGTTGAACAATGTTCATTTGAAGAGGTGTGCTCATTGGATAGCAGGGAAGCAGAACAGAGTATCCTTTAAAAGTTCTGCTGAGACTAAGAAGAAACCAGAGGTATTGGAATTGATACACTCTGATGTGTGTGGACCTTTCAAAACTAGGTCACTTGGTGGTGCTCGCTATTTTTTTACCTTCATTGATGACTGCTCAAGGAAATTATGGGTTTATTCTTTGAGGCATAAAAGTAAAGTTGTAGACATATTCAAGCAATTTCATGCCCTAGTTGAGAGACAGACTGGGAAGAAGCTAAAATGCATAAAGTCAGATAATGAAGGAGAGTATATTGGGCCACTCAATAGGTATTGCGTAGAGCAGTGTATTCGCCATAAGAAAACACCACCAAAGACTCCTCAGTTAAATGGTGTTGCTGAGATGATGAACAGGACTTTGATTGAGAGAGTTAGATGTTTGTTGTCACATGCAAAGTTACCAAAGACATTCTGGGCTGAGGCACTAAGTACTGTTGCGCATGTGTTGAATCTCTCACCATGTGCTCCTTTAAGGTTTGACATACCAAATCGGGTATGGACAGGAAATGATGTTTCCTATGATTATCTACGTGTCTTCGGGTGCAAAGCATTTGTGCACATTCCGAAAGATGAAAGATTGAAACTTGATGTTAAGACACGACAGTGTGTGTTTATTGGCTATGGTCTAGATGACTTTGGCTACAGATTTTATGATCCGGTTGAAAAGAAGCTTGTGAGATGCCGAGATACTGTGTTCGTGGAGAATCAGACCATAGAGGATATTGACCGGGTTAAAGAATTGGGATCTCATAACGGTGATTCAGTTGATACTGAGATAGTACCTCCAACAGTGGTTCCTGAAGTGGTTGGAGAGGAGGACCAAATTGAGCAGCAAGATGTTACTGATGCTTCCATTAATGATGATGAACTCCCAGTTCCAGAAGCTTCAACTCCACCTCAGCTTCGAAGAAGTTCAAGAGTTAGACAACCTTCCATAAGGTACTCTTTTGATATTTATGAAATTAATTTTGTTGATAATGGTGAACCAGAATGTTATGCAGAAGCTGTGGAGGATGAACACAAGGAAAAGTGGATTGAAGCCATGAAAGATGAGATGAAATCCTTGTATGAGAATAATACCTTTGGGTTAGTAAAGCTACCTAAAGGTAAGAGAGCTTTGACAAACAAGTGGGTGTACAGAGTAAAGTAGGAAGAACACTCTTCACGGCCACTGTACAAAGCTAGACTAGTTGTCAAGGGATTCAACCAGAGAAAAGGTATTGACTTTGATGAGATATTTTCTCCAGTGGTTAAGATGTCTTCCATTCGTGTTGTTCTTGGACTAGCAGCCAGCCTAGATTTAGAAATTGAGCAAATGGATGTAAAGACTGCTTTTCTTCATGGTGATTTAGATGAAGAAATATACATGGAGCAGCTAGAGGGTTTTGAAGTCAAGGGAAAAGAGGACTATGTCTGTAAGCTAAAAAAGAGCCTATATGGCTTAAAACAGGCACCAAGGCAATGGTACAAGAAGTTTGAGTCAGTTATGGCGCAACAAGGTTACATGAAGACTACTTCTGACCATTGTGTGTTCTTTCAGAAATTCTCTGATGACGATTTTATTATGATTTTGTTGTACGTCGATGATATGTTGATCTTCGGCAAGAGTGCTTCTAGAATTAATCAACTAAAGGAACAATTGAGCAAGTCTTTTGCTATGAAAGACTTGGGGCCAGCAAAACATATTCTTGGGATAAGAATTACACGAGACAGGAATGCCAGAAAGTTATGGTTGTCTCAGGAGAAGTACATTGAGAAAATACTTTGTAGGTTTAACATGGACAATGCTAAAGCGGTTAGTTCTCCTCTTGATGATCACTTTAAATTAAATAGTAAGCAAAGTCCTTCTACAGAGGAAGAAAAGACAAGTATGCAACAAGTCCCTTATAATTCTGCAGTTGGCAGTTTGATGTATGCTATGGTATGTACAAGGCCTGATATTGCTCATGCAGTTGGCGTTGTGAGTAGGTTCCTTTCTAATCCTGGCAAGGAACATTGGATGGCTGTTAAATGGATTTTCAGATATCTTAGAGGTACTTCTAAATTATGCCTATGTTTTGGTTTTAATAAGTCTATGTTGGTTGGATACACAAATGCAGACATGGCAGGTGACATTGACTCTAGAAAGTCGACTTCGGGATATCTAATAACATTTGCAAAGGGAGCAGTATCATGGCAGTCTAAGTTACAAAAGTGTGTTGCACTTTCTACCACAGAGGCTGAGTTTATTGCAGCAACTGAAGCTTGTAAAGAGTTGCTGTGGGAGAAGAAATTTCTTCAAGAACTCGGGATCAAACAAGCCAAATATGAGTTATTTTGTGATAGTCAAAGTGCTATACACCTTGGTAAGAATTCCTCTTTCCATTCAAGATCGAAACATATCGATGTAAGATATCACTGGATACGAGATGTTTTGGAGATGAACTACTTAAAACTTGTAAAGATCCATACAGATGAAAATGGGTCTGACATGTTAACAAAGTCATTACCAAGGGAAAAGCTTGAGATCTGTCGTTCAGCTGCAGGGATGCAAGTCCCTCCACATTGGCGTGAGGGGGAGTTTGTTGCTAGATGGTCCCACCAATGTGGGTAGGGTGGTGACCAAAAGCTTAACAATTAAGCTTGGAAGATGAAGGGAAAGGTTTTTTGATTAATGGCTTCATTCATGTCCATTTAATGGGAGATTAAAGTGTGCAAATGTAAAGACAAAAGAGTTGGCTTTGTAAAGCCTATATAAAGGCCATGGATTTGGCTACCTTGGATATGAGAGAGTTCAAGAAGAAGAAAAAGAGAGGAGAGAAAAGTTGTTGAGATATACAAGTGTGAGAAAATTAGCCGAGAAGAAGTTGGTGGATTTCGTAGAAATTCTTGTGCCTCGGGGTATGTTATTTTCTCTTGTATTTTGTGTTGCCTCTAATCGTTGAATTAGAGAAGCCTCCTCTGTTGTACCCATTATCTATATAGTGGAAGGTTTACTGGTTTGTGCCCGTGGTTTTTTACTCCTTGCCTTGAGGAGGTTTTTCCACGTTAAAATTCTTGGTGTTCTTCTTGGTGCCATTTATTTATTTTCATTGTGCTAATTATATATTCTTGCGAGCTTTCTTCCCAAAATAACCAACTGAGCAACACATGCGGGTTTCCTGCCACTATTTCATGAAATCATTGATGGTAATTAATATATATATATGCATATTTTTTAAAAATATATTTACAAATATATACTCCAATACTTATTATAATTAAACCTTTTCCTACGTTTTGTGTCTCACAATTTTATTTTTGAGTACTACTGACTCTATTACATTGTAGTATCTGTTCATCTATAATTTCTCAACCTGTGAAATTTCATGTATATATTTCTATTGGTCTTGTTTGATTTGTTCCTTATAAAACTCCTATTATGTGGAAGGACTCACATTCTCTACTCCTAATGTGTTTAGATAATGGACATTATGAATTAGAATACTGTAGTTTATCAGTTAGAATAATGTATTTTATATGTTAAAATAATTAACATTTTGGAGTAAGATAATGTATTTTATGAGTTAGAATAATGTAATTTATGCTTTAGATTAATGTACTTTATGAGTTATAAAAATGTATGTTGCATTAGTCGAGTTAACAGCTTCATCTCTTCTTAAATGAGGAGACGACGACGTTTTGAACCATGGTCCGATCCATACAGTTGTGTGGACCACGATCCACGCAATAACAATTGTCACGCATTTATAACTATTAAATTAGTAAGTTATTATAGAAGCTTCAAAAAATAAAAATAAAAAAGTTACTATATATGACAACTTTTGTTAGGTAACTCAAAATAATCAAGACAACAATTATAGGCGTTCGGTTGGAAGGAGGGAATTAGGGGGGGGGGGGAAAGGAATTGTAATTCGATGAGAAAAAAATAAAGTGGGAATTTAAATTACATTGTTTGGTATGGTAGAAGGAATAGTGTAATGAGGAAGGGAAGAAGTGAATAAATACTAAAATCCCCTTATATAATATTAATATAATAATGATAATGAGGGTAAAGTGGTATTCTGGATGGAATTTATTTTAAATTTTTAACTTAAAATAATAATTATATATATTCCTACAAAAAATTGACTAATTATCAAGGTTTTGTCTTCTTAAGAAAATGCATTCTCTTCTGTTGGTTAACTTTTCTAACAACAGTTGTATAAGCATTAATAATGGTAGACGATAAAACAAAATCAGATTACAAGCATGTGGCATTCATATATATATAGTGCCCTTCTTATATACAGTAATACTTACCAGTTACCACCATCTATCTTCCTTTGGCACTTCACTTACACCACACTAATGATGGCTTTTCCTACTCCTCATTTCTTTTCCACTAAGCCTATCCTTTCTCTGTATTTCTTCACTTTCTTGGTTTTAGGATCTGCCCTTATTTCATCTGCTTCCAAGCTACCAGGCAATGAGACCGACATTATCTCACTTCTTGAATTCAAAAAAATGATAAAAGATGATCCATTTGGTGTCATGGCCTCGTGGAATGAAACCATCCATTTCTGTGGGTGGCCTGGTGTTTTGTTTGGCCGACGCCACTTGAGAGTCATGTCTTTAAACCTCAGGTCTCTGAAATTGGTGGGATCATTGACTCCACACATTGGGAACTTGAGCTTTCTCAAAGCTTTGGACCTTCAAAACAATAGTTTTTCAGGTGATATCCCACAAGACATCAGTCATTTACATAGATTACAATTTTTACATTTGAACAATAACTCATTTAGTGGGTTTATACTGTCAAATATTTCTGCATGTAAAAACCTGCAATTTGTAGATTTCTCATATAACAATCTTACATGCAACATTCCATCAGATCTTGGCACCCTAAATAATCTTCAAGTCATTTCTTTTATTCACAACAACCTTGTTGGTAAAATCCCCCATTCTTTAGGGAATCTTTCACTGCTCAATAGCTTTGCTGTCTCCATCAATAACTTATTTGGAGAAATACCTGATTCTCTATGTAAATTATCTAAACTACAATACCTTTTAGTTAGCCAAAATAATTTGAGTGGCATTATACCCCCTTCTCTATTCAACCATTCGTCCATGTTGGCTATTAATTTGGCTGGAAATCACATAAGGGGGACTTTGCACCCTAACCTTTTCGTCACTCTTCCCCACCTTTTATATTTTTCTATCTATGAAAACAATTTCGTGGGAAGTATTCCTGTTACATTATCAAATGCAACACAAATGCAAATGTTCAGTGTTACTGATAACAAAATGACAGGAAAAGTTCAAACCTTGGAAAGTTGCAAAAACTACAAAGGTTCTTGGCCGGAGGTAATCATCTTGGGGATGGGAATGTTTTTGACTTAGCTTGAACTTCCTTTCTTCATTGACCAATGCGAGCAACTTAGAGGTATTGGACCTTGGTGGTAATAATTTTGGAGGGGTCTTGCCTACAACAATCACTAACCTTTCAAGAAACCTTAGAATTCTTTCCATTCGGAGACAAGAAACCTTAGAATTCTTTCCATTCGGAGCAATCATGTGTCTGGAAACATCCCAAGTGGGATTTCTAATCTCATCAGTTTACAACTATTACTATTGTTGCAGAATAAAATCGACGGAGAAATTCCACTTGAGATTGGGTATCTTAGTAATCTGAGAGTTTTGGGATTATTTGGAAACAATTTTTTTGGAAAAATTCCATCTTCTATAGGAAATTTAACCCTTTTATTACATCTTAGTTTTGGAGGAAACTACCTCCATGATACAATTCCTGCCAGCCTCGGAAAATGCCAAAACCTAGAGTTTTTAGATCTTTCTCGCAACAACCTTAGTGGGCACATCCCTAAGGAAGTTCTTGAACTCTCATCCTTGTCTTTGTTTTTGGATCTCTCTGACAATAACTTCATAGGCTCCATTCCAAAAGAGGTTCAGTTTTTGACAAATCTAGGGATTTTGGATCTATCTTATAATTCATTCTCTGGCACTATTCCACCGGAGCTTGGTAGCTGCGTTTACTTGGAAATCCTGAATCTAACAAATAACAATCTTGAAGGCCCAATTCCATCAACTTTGGAAAATTTGAGGTGTATACAATTCTTACAACTTTCTAACAACCATTTCACTGGTCAATTAAATCCCAACTTTCTTGAAAGACTTCAAACTTTTACAAAATTTGAATCTTTCATACAATGATTTTGAAGGAGCAGTACCAACCACAGGAATCTTCAACAACACAAACTCAGTTTCAATTGCAACAAATAAAAAGCTGTGGGGGCATACTTGAGCTGAACCTCCCTGAGTGCAATACTACAAAGCCCAAAAATAGGATTTCAAAAGCTCATTTGAAAGTGGTAGTAATTCCTCTGATAATCGGGATTGTTGGGCTAATTGTTGTAGTGTTTATTCTCTGTCGTATATGGTTAAGAAGACAAAGAAAAGGACCCTTTCCTAATTTGATAGAAAACCCAATCTTAAGAGTGTCATATCATTCCCCCATCAAGTGCACTAATGGGTTCTCTAAAGAAAATTTACTAGGAGTTGGTGGTTTTGGAGCTGTATATAAAGGATCCTTGATCATGATGGAACTACCTTTGCAGTCAAGGTATTAATTGATCTTTTGCGTCATGGAGCTTCTAGAATTTTTGTAGCTGAGTGTGAGATATTGAAAAACACCAAACACCGGAAACTTGTCAAGGTGTTAACTGCTTGCTCAGGATTTGATCTTCAAAAAAATGATTTCAAGGCATTAGTTTACGAGTACATGGATAATGGGAACCTTGAGAACTGGTTGCATTTTAGTTCACAGGAGACTTTCGAGATTGAAGAGAATAGGATGTTAAGCTTTTCTCAGAGGTTAAACATTCTCATTGATGTGGCCAACGCTTTAGATTATCTTCATAACAATTGTGAATCTGCAATAATCCATTGCGATCTCAAGCCGAGTAATGTTCTCTTGGATAAAAACATGACTGCACATGTAAGTGATTTTGGACTGGCAAGATTTGTACAACAAAGGATTCAAAGCTCTTCATCAGACAACCATAGTTCTATAGGAGTACAAGGAACTGTTGGATATGCACCTCCCGGTAAGTTTTATAATACACTCTAATGCCTAAAAACTTCTCCAATCACTTTCTAATGCATTTACTCTTGTAATCTACATTTGGATAGTCACTTTTTTTGGGGGGGTTTCATTTTTGGAGTAGAATATGGTATGGGAAGCAAGCCATCAAAAGCAGGTGATGTATATAGCTTTGGCATACTAATCTTGGAAATGCTCACTGGGAAGAGACCTACACATGAATTGTTCCAAGATGGCTTAAACCTTCATAGCTATGCTAAGGCTGCTTTAGCATACGGAGGAGTGGAGATTGCAGATCCAAAACTTCTCCATGAAAGAGATGAACAAACACAAATGCGGAAGAAAAGGAAATCGTGCGTGGAGACTGAGAAATTTCATGTGTGCTTTGTTTCTTTGATCGAAATTGGGATTGCTTGTTCTGTTGAATTCCCAGGTGATGATAAAATGAAGATTGGTGATGTTGTTGGTGAATTAAATAAGTCAAGGAAATCTTTCTTGATGTAAGTTAGCACATGACTGAAGAAGGATTGAACTTGCAAGCTTAGCTTAGGAGTTTGTTTTATTATCTTGTCTTTTGTATCTTTATAATCTGTATGTGTTGGTGTTTTAAATGACAATACTCTATTTCCTTCTCAATTTCTTCCCTTTTTTTTTTTCTGCAAATTTGTTGGTGAAATTCTGTAAAAGCTTGGAGCTTTTACATAGGCTTATTTATTAAATAAAATCACATGAATTCTCTTGGTTTCAGTGCATTAATATTAGGGAAATGATCTAACCAATTGATTCATCAGAAGCATGTGAATGTAGATGTAAAAATAAGTACATAATACTAACCGTTGAATTCAGTAATTTTAAGACATTCATGCTCCTTGAATTGGTACTATGATCGAGGCTGCAACTCACCAATTTAACCTAAAGGAGTATGCCAATCACTTCCAATGTTACTCTAATCTTGTGTAATAATCTGCAAATGGTACATGAGAAGTAAAGTGCGCTAAGAAGATCATATGCGATGGATTGACCGAAAGAATGCTAGTATAAATTAAAAAAAAAAAAAAGTGTCTAATAGGTCACTGAACTTATACACATTGTGCAATTGAACCATTGAATAAAATAAATGTGCAATTGGACCATTAAAAACTCAAAATTTGTGCATATAATGGATCTTCATTAAATAGATTCCTCAAATATTCTGATATCATAGGAGAAAACCCCTGAATTTCCACAATAATGGATCTTCATTAAATAGATTCCTCAAATATTCTGATATCATCATCAAATTTCCAGTTACAAGGCACTCTTGATATAATGAATCTATGACATACCTTGAGTTGTTTCTTCAATTGCATCATTCTTTGTTCTTCTTTTTGAATCCATAATTATTTAGGGTTTACGTTGTCTGAACTCTGAAACAGAGAAAGAGGAAAGAGGGGGGAGAATAATACTAACTTCTATTTTTGTACCTAATTATAACTATATTATATTTAAAAAAATAATTAAAATAATTTTTTATATATAATTTGACATTATGACATCATATTTAAGGGAAACTTGGAGTAACATGTATAAAATATTATTTGCACAATTTTTGAGTTTTTAATGGTCCAATTACATTTTTTTTAGTGACCTAGCTATTTGACACTTTTTCCGAGATTAAACTTGTGATCTTCATGTATAAGTATAATGTTCCACCCACTCACTCATCCCTAGGGATACAAATAGGCTAGTCCGGGCTGAAATGTAAAAAATTAGGCATAAGAGTATACATAATAGTGGAATCTTATTCTAATGGGAATAGAATATGTTGGGAATAGAATAAGAATTCAATTCCATTGTTTAATTCGTAAAATAATTGTTATACCATGGATTAGGGTTTATATTCCATTGTGAACCCTGATCAAAAAATTAAGCGTCTACAGTTAATACGTTTTGTACCTGCAGTTAATCGTTTTCGTACATGTAAACAAATTGAAGGCACATCAAATGATAATTACAGACGCATAACATGATAATTTCATATTAAAAAACCGTTAACTGCAAGTACAGTATATGTTAACTACAGACACATAACACTGTAATTACAGACACAAATTGTTATCTGTAGGTACATAATTTTTTAACTGCAAACACATAACATGTTGGTTAACATGTTATGTGTCCACAGTCAACATATTTTGTGCCGGTAGTTAACAATTTATCTGTCTATAGTTATCATGTTATGTATCTGTAATTTTCATGTGATGTGGCTTCAATTTGTTTACAGGTACAAAAACGATTAACTACAGATACATAATGCGTCAACTACAGGTATAAAATATGAAGGCTATTTTTAGACCATGGTCCACAATGTAAGGTAGACCTTGGTCCATGACATAATGTGACTTTCGTCAAAAAGAATAGATTCAAGAGTTTAATATAAATATATTCTTCTTCTTCTTCTTCTTCTTCTTCTTCTTCTTCTTCTTCTTCAATTCATGTGTAGGTCTCTTCCCAGTGAGCATATCCAAGATTAGTATGCCAATGCTATATATGTAACACCCCGTGTTACGGCCCATAAACCAATTAATTAATTACCCAGAAACAAAGATTAAAATCTCATCAATTAGGAAAGGCCCACCATAAGCCCATGGACCCTTATCCCTAAATCCAACCCTTAGTCCCATAGGAAATAGAAGTAGCCAATTATATAAATAGGGACATAGGAGGCACCTAGAACTCACACCACCATAATCTCCCACCACACAAGAAGTTCCAAGAATCCCCTTAGGAGAAATAAAGAAAGAAGAAAGCTTAAGGAAAAACCCTTCGTTGCCAAGGAAACTAATTAAGGCTAAGAGGTAACCCATGTCTCAACAAAACCTATTTTCTTCGCTATGATCTCCTTCCTTGGCCTCCTTCTATATATGTGTGTCTTGATTAATTCCTCTATGTTGATTGTGATATATTCTTGATGATTGATAAGATGACTTGGGTGTATTCATGATATTCTTGATGATCTTGATGATGAAAAGAGGTTCTTGATGTTGATGTAAGGATTCTTGGCAAATCTGGATATTTCTTGATGTTAACGATAAAATGTGATTTTGATGATTTGGGGGAAATTAGAGCCCTAGGATGAATTGGGAATTTGTGTTGTAATGCTCTTGATTTATATTTGGGTGGGAATTCACATGCTCGGGTGTTGTTTATATTTAGAAGTCATGATAGGTCGAGTTACATGTGATTCTTGCTTTTGATTCGTTAATTGACTACGTGGTGTCGTTGATTGCGTTTAAAAGTGTCTAAGCATGGTTTCGGGTTCCACAAAGGATCCCGGGATGAAATATTGATGAAAAAGTCAGTGGGGGGTAGGTGGGGGTAGGGGCCCGCTGCCCGAAGATCACCGCCGGGCAGCGGGCAGGCGTCCGCTCGCCCGCAACCCACTGCCGGGCAGTGATCTCCGGCGGGCAGCCGGCGGGTGATCCCTCACCCACCGGCTACCCGCTGGTTCGTGACCCCCCCGGGTCCCCGACTTCCCCGTTTGATGTTCCCCATTCCCCGTGGCATCCCAACGGACCCCGTTTGTCGTACCTAAGTCTAGTCTGATGTTTCGGGTACCGTTCGTAGGATAGGTGAATCTTAGGAATTGCATGCTAGTTGAGTTGGTAACCCGTTGACCTAGGTGGAAGTCGTATGAACCCCTTAGTACGATTCTTAATATGTGAATGATCACACGTAAGTTTAATTATATGCCTCCCCTTCCCAATGTTCTATTATGTGCTATAATGTGTTATGTGATGCATGATTCCCCAATTTGGTTGCGATCAAATTGGCTATACGGGCAGTTGGATGGGTTGAGAACCATCCCAACTGTTAACCAGGCCGGTTGCGATCGGTCAGGTATATAAATATTATATAGGGCTGCGGTCCACTGTTGATTATTTATGAGTTGCGGTTCATTCTCCTGGCTGCGGTCAGTGATTCACTTCTTGGGCTGCGGTCCACATGGGCCTCGGTGCTATGACCCACCGGACCTGAACGCGCCAGGACGGTGTGTAGGGCCAATAAGCCAAGGAAGGCTGTAGTCCACCGATCCGAGTAATCGGGGCGGTGTGTATGTAACACCCCCCAAAAAACAAGACCTAAAAACAAGTCTTAACACATGCAGATTAACAACAAAACACTAGCACAGCGGAAGAAAACGGAAACTGGATAAAAGGAATCCAAAACAGGGGTGTTATGCCACGTATACCACACTAGGTAACGCTAAGGCGACAATCTGCAAGTGTAACACACTATCCCAAAACATCACTCTAAAAGCAATCTAAAACCATTGGCACGCAGGCCACAAAAACACAGTCTAAAGATACAGGTGCTAAGCTACCAGCTCTAGACATCGCGCTCGACTACTCAACACCTAAAAGATACAAAGATAAACATCGGGGCGACGCCCCGGTCAGCGAATAATGCTGGTAACCCACCAATACCGTTAAGTATCATAAATAGGTAGATATAAGTCATAAAACCATTTTCGAAACGGAATATATATATATAAGTCAAAAGCCAAGATCAAAAGACAACACAAGACTCACCACTCACAAGGATAACACCGGGAACACATCCCAAACCACAAAGGTTAACCACACACAAGGATAAAAACTCACCCAACGGCAACACATGCCAAAACACCACAAGGCTCCGTGACTACACACGTCACGAGAGAAGATCACACAACACCGGCTTTACAAGCCCTCGCGACATCACCCATCACGAGTTGGTATGCCTTCCTTATGCCCTGTTCCAACCTTATGGCTACCCCCAACCTTGTACCTTCAAAGCCAACCATTACCTCCAGAAATCCCCTGTACAGCCAAGTCCAACCTTATTCCGCCGGGACCGTCGTCCCCCACCTATAACCACCAACGAAAACCCACCAATCATGGCAACACATGCCCGGATAACACAATGTTATCCCCCAATCATGTGGACTCAGCCACAGCTCCATAATCACGTCACGGCCACCACGAGGACCGCTGCAATACCTTGGTGACTAGTGTCCCATACCACTAATCGTGCAATCCAGGTAGAGCCACACACGCACCACCACTCACACGAATCAATCAAAGGATTGCAAGAGAGGTATGAAACACACTCAATCAAGAGACGGGTCACAGCCAAACAACAACAACGATGAATAACACAAGTTATCATCCACCAAACGGAAGGTACGAACAACACACACGCTAGCATTAAGACAACGAACTAGAATGCTTAACAACGGGGAAACTCAAGATAGTTTCGAGGAACTCACAAGACACCTCATGGTTCAACGAAACACAAAGTTGAACACTTAGCACGAATCAAGACACCAAAGATCCTACATGGATACCTACCATATAGTTCTAGACCTACGAAACATCAAGAAGACGCTCAAATAGTTCCACAAAAGAACAACGGGAAGCCAAAAGATCAAACACCAAGACAACTGAATCACGGGGAACAAATCCCATCACCACACCACTGTGTTCCCCGTGGGTAGACCCACGGGTAGTGCCCCACCCGTGGTCCCGCCCGCGGGTACACTACCCACAAGGCAACATGTTCCCCGCGGGTAGGCCGGCGGGTGGGGCACCACCCGCCGTTCCGCCCGGG